TTACTGTTTAATAGACTAACTTTCCATTTGCTGTTGCCAAGCACATCCAGCATATTTCTCCGCGGTGCCATAAACTGCAGCTCCTCTGCCATAAAGCCCTGCCTCCCCGTAGGAGCAGGTGGGTGTTCAGGATTCAGGGGATGACCTTGGCCATGGGGTGAGCAGAGACACCGGGCTTTGTTTTTGGAGGAATCGGTCTTGTGCCCACCAAGCCCTTCTGCCTTATTGCAGTCCCCGTTGCACTGACAGCCCCGAGCTGGGGAACCACCTAACCCGAGGAGTGAGGAGGGTCTCAGCCTGATGGATGAGGGAGGCAGCGACTCTGTCCTGATTTTATTAATGAAGATGCCCTGGGTGCAGACCAGCTTGCCCCTGCTCCATATTTATGGCAAGCTGGCGGCCGGTTCCACGCTGGGGTGCAACCAATAAGCTGTGTGCCCCCTTGGGCTCAGAGTTTCTGCAGTTGCAGGTGGCTTCTCTGCACCTTGCTGGTCCCACCATTACAAACATGTGTTCCCTCATCCTCACTCCTGCTCACCCAGCCCTTCCAGAGCTACAGGATACTGGGGACTGAAAGAAAGTCAGATCCTGCACGACATGGGATGGGGAAGTTGGTTCCAGTCCCACTTTGCCTCCGTCACCCCCATTGGAGAGGAGGTGCCTTTGGGAAGGAGCAGCAGCTCCAGAGGTATGAGCCCGAGTGACTGGCCACCGAGGTCTGGCTCTGAAGGGTGGCAAGAGGATGCCAGTAGCCAAAAATAACTTAAAGGAGAGGGGAAAGGGTTTAGCTTGCCTTGTGACAGCTCTGCTCAGCCTCAGGTGTGGGCAGGGACTCTCACTGGAGCTGGGGGACCACGGTGAGGGCTACCTGGAGAGCTGATTTTTGTCCTTTGTAAGAGGGCATCTCCCCCAAGCCCCTTCCAACAGACTTCTCTGTGCTCTCTATGTTCTCCTTGGCCTTAGTGACGGCCTCTACACCCTCCCTCCATCCCCTAGATGCAGCCAGGGAGGAAGAACCAGGCATCTCCAAGCCTGCCGTCCCCCCTCACCGGCACATCTGGCCCTGGGGGGCCCCCCCAAGTAGCGTGGGACAGGCAGGGGGTCCCGTCCTGGAGCGTGTGTTGCCAGCCCCCTCTTGTGCTGCTGCTGCAGAACGGCCTTGGAGAGGCACAATGGAGCCAGAGGCTTTTGTGGAAGAGGTTTTGTGGAGATCTTGCTCCCCTGGGGCAGGAGGACGGGCAGGCAGCCGGCTCAGGAGCAAAGCTCCTGAGCCAGCTGCCTGCCCGTCCTCCTGCCCCAGGGGAGCAAGGCTCAGGCTTTACGAGGGAAAAAAAGATTGGAAGAAACAAACCCTTTGCACCTCCATTCATCCCAATTCTGCAGCCAGAAGGAGAGAGGACGAAGAGGGGACTCAAGACCTTTTCTCTGGTGTCGAAGGAACCGGGGCTTCAAATCACAGCAGCTGTGTGCCCCCTTGGGCTCAGAGTTTCTGCAGTTGCAGGTGGCTTCTCTGCACCTTGCTGGTCCCACCATTACAAACATGTGTTCCCTCATCCTCACTCCTGCTCACCCAGCCCTTCCAGAGCTACAGGATACTGGGGACTGAAAGAAAGTCAGATCCTGCACGACATGGGATGGGGAAGTTGGTTCCAGTCCCACTTTGCCTCCGTCACCCCCATTGGAGAGGAGGTGCCTTTGGGAAGGAGCAGCAGCTCCAGAGGTATGAGCCCGAGTGACTGGCCACCGAGGTCTGGCTCTGAAGGGTGGCAAGAGGATGCCAGTAGCCAAAAATAACTTAAAGGAGAGGGGAAAGGGTTTAGCTTGCCTTGTGACAGCTCTGCTCAGCCTCAGGTGTGGGCAGGGACTCTCACTGGAGGTGGGGGACCACAGTGAGGGCTGCCTGGAGGGCTGATTTTTGTCCTTTGTAAGAGGGCATCTCCCCCAAGCCCCTTCCAACAGAGCTGCCTGGAGGGCTGATTTTTGTCCTTTGTAAGAGGGCATCCCCCTCCAGCCCTTCCAACAGCCTTCTCTGTGCTCTCTATGTTCTCCTTGGCCTTAGTGACGGCCTCTACACCCTCCCTCCATCCCCTAGATGCAGCCAGGGAGGAAGAACCAGGCATCTCCAAGCCTGCCGTCCCACCTCACCGGCACATCTGGCCCTGGGGGGCCCCCCCAAGTAGCTTGGGACAGGCAGGGGGTCCCGTCCTGGAGCGTGTGCTGCCAGCCCCCTCTTGTGCTGCTGCTGCAGAACGGCCTTGGCGAGGCACAATGGAGCCAGAGGCTTTTGTGGAAGAGGTTTTGTGGAGATCTTGCTCCCCTGGGGCAGGAGGACGGGCAGGCAGCCGGCTCAGGAGCAAAGCTCCTGAGCCAGCTGCCTGCCCGTCCTCCTGCCCCAGGGGAGCAAGGCTCAGGCTTTACGAGGGAAAAAAAGATTGGAAGAAACAAACCCTTGGCACCTCCACTCATCCCAATTCTGCAGCCAGAAGGAGAGAGGACGAAGAGGGGACTCAAGACCTTTTCTCTGGTGTCGAAGGAACCGGGGCTTCAAATCACAGCAGGGGGCTGGGTGATGGATTTGTCACAATTATTCCCAGCAGGAAGGCAGGGGAGGTTGGTGGAGCCTGGGAGAAGAGCTTGGTGTAATCTGGGAGAGGTGGGATTCGGGAGGGGAGCATGGTTATGCCCACCCCAGCTGGGACTCAGCTGGGAAAGGAAAGCTCTGCTCCCCCTGAGCCAGACTGGAACCAGCACCTCAAAGACCGGAGCTGGGAAGTATCTGAACCTCACCCCGTTGATCATAGAATCATAGAATCGTTCAGGTTGGAAGAGACCCTTGGGATCATCGAGTCCAACCATCTCCCCTACTCTACAAAGTCCTCCCCTACACCATGTCCCTCAGCACCGCATCTAAACGGCCCTTAAACACAGCCAGGGATGGGGACTCCACCCCCTCCCTGGGCAGCCTGTTCCAATGCCCGACCACTCTTTGGGTGAAAAATTCCTTCCTAATGTTCAATCCAACCCTCCCCTGTTGGAGCTTGAAGCCGTTCCCTCTCGTTCTATTGTTAATTACCTGTGAGAAGAGACCAGCACCGACCTCTCTACAGTGTCCTTTCAAGTAGTTGTAGAGTGATGAGGTCTCCCCTCAGCCTCCTCTTCCTCATACTAAACAGCCCCAGCTCCTTCAGCCGCTCTTCATATGATTTGTCTTCCAGGCCCTTCCCCAGCTTCGTTGCCCTCCTCTGCACTCGCTCCAGCACCTCCAGATCTCTCTTGTATTGAGGCGCCCAGAACTGGACACAACACTCGAGGTGTGGCCAGCTGGTGAGAGCTTCTCCTTGCACCAAGACACGGGAGCCCAGAAAAACCCCATCGCGTTCCTGCCGTGTGGGCACTTCCCAGGAGGAAAAACTGGGCTGGAGCGGGATGGGACCAGCAGAGGTTCCACCCTGGTCCTCAGCACCAGTGCAGGACCCAGCAGGGACACCTCAGCACCTCCCCGCCTGCACAATTCCTGAGCTTAGAGCACGAAACCCTTGCCGAGGGGATGAGCAAACAGAACTAAACATGGTAATTTATTCACCCCGTGAAAAAATATTAGTTAATCCAAGCCAATGAGATTGTGAAGCACGATAACTGGTCTGGCTGGTGCCAACATCTATCGCTAGCAGTACTCATGGTTTTTGTCTACACTGTTGCCCTAGGCAGTGAGACGCAGCAGCAGCGTGACAGCTCCCAGCCACACATGATAATTTAAGAGAGAAAAAATATCTTATTTAAACTCCGAACCAGGGCAGAACGGTTAAAAAAAATAAAGAATCCAAGACAACTTGCAAAAATGGATTTAGATAGCAGTGACACTCGGCAGAACTTATTTGCAAGTCTGCGCTGCGCAATTTGAGATAAAAACTGTTTAATGGAATGAAGGATGAGCGCTGCTTGTTTGCTTTGTAAGGCCACTGCCGTGCAGGAACACCAACAGGCCAAAGCAAACACACTGGAAGCTGAGCCATCTCCCTCAAAACACACACCTTCACCCAGCTTTGGGCCCAGTGGTCGCTGCCTTTCCACGTGCAGCCCAGCCCGAGCGCTGGGCTTGTGGCTTCAGGGGCTAAAAAGTATTCATTTTTAAAATTATGCAAGTAACATAAAGCTGTCAACTTGGAATCACAGCTTATCGGGGAGGCGATATTTGGGTTTGCAGTATGCAAAATAGCTATTGTGAGTTTTTGCATCCCTTTGTTTAACATGTTCCAAGACCAGAAATGTCTCTGTGGACTCCCAATGCCCGTCCCCTCTGGCTCCCCGAGGTCCGGGGAGACGGGACCTGCTGGTCCCTGCTGGTCCCCTGCCACCCCCCCGCAGCTCTGGAGGAGAAGGGCCCCCGCTGGAAGCTCACCCCGCAGGAAAGCAGCCCTGGTTTCAAACGTACCACCCCGCTTGCCTCTTCTCCTGCTTGTTTTTCGATGGCAGGAAGAGGATGCTAATGAGCGTCTGAGCCATGGCAGGCAAGCCCAGGGCATTTCAAACGTGGAAGAACTTCACAGAGAAATCATCTGCATAAAATCTGAGACGCCATTATTAAGAAGGAGGAAAAGAAAATGCAAGCAGAAATCATCCTCCCTCGGCAGCCGAGAGAAGAATGGGTCTACTGAGAAAAATGTATTCATTTGATCCATTATTTATATAAAGTGCTCTTTGTAAACCTGGTTTCCCATCACCCTGGATGACAGCAGGGGGAAGACAGGAAAAGAGGAGGTCCAACTTGATACCTCCAAGGGAAAGACAGTCTTCCTGGGGATCCTGCATCACACCAGGATCCCAGAGAGGGAACAAGCCCTGGTGCCATGGGAGGCCAGTGCCATCTCTGCAGGTGGGCACCAAGCTCCCCCCACATTTAAGGGTAGGAGCTCTGGGGTTCTAAGCAGACACCTCCTTCCTTTTAAAGGCACCACCAAGTCCTCGCTGTCCAATGAAACTACTTAAGCCACTGAGCAAACCCATTAAAAATAAAAGCATTTAATATGGGGTTTTCACATGAACACACAGAAAGGCAACAGTCTGAAACAGGACATACATAGCATATATAAATAAGGACAAAGATTAAAAATACTTTGGAAATGATAGACTCTGGGAACAGTTAGTGGCTGCTCTGGGAGGAAGCATCCTCGTGAGTCATTGCACAGGGCAGACAAACCAGACACATCCAAGCAGAACTAAAACTCCCCCTCTCCTGTGAGATAGTGTGAACATGCTGGGACTGTAAAAGCCAAGGGTCCTAGAGGCAGAACCCGTCAGCCACCGCCATCCTCAGCACAGGGAGGACAGCCCAGGGCAGTGAACCCCTCCTGGGACTGTCCCCTCTGAAGACTGCACCCACCCCTTTGGCAGGGAAGACATACAGAACGCCAGGCTGATGCCCCATAGACAATTTTTCTTAGAGCTAAGCAAATCTCAGCTATGCCAGAAGCCAGAGTCCCTGAGCTATAGGCATCAGTAAGGGGGGACAGTGGAGAGAAGAGTGATGTTCCTCTCATCTACAGGGGAGCAGTGCATTTAGCCTTAGGAACAAGCTTGCCTTGCCAAGCAGACACCAATCCAGACATACATGCCCGAGTAAGCGAGGGGCAACAGGGAGGGGAGGGATGGGATAAACAAATGGGATAAACCCAGCAAACGCCCCCCACGCAGGTAAGAGCAGCTGCAGGAGGACCAGACCCCGCTCTCCGTGAGCTCGACCTTGGGCTCTGCCTCATCTCTGGTCCGAGGCAAAGCCGAGATCCTCAGGTCTCTGCTGACAACGGGCTGCAGGGGCAGGGCAGGAGGGCAGTCAGCAAAACACGCTGTGCCCTTCGGAGAAGAGCACTTAGAGAGCTTCAGCCTCCGGAGGGAATGGTTACAGACACATCCAAAAAAGCACATACCACTACCACAGCAAACAGCCTCTGCCCTTCCTCACAGCATCCTCGCCTGCCCAGTCCCTGAGGAACCACAGCTCTTTCTTTGCTGCGACAGAGGCTCCTAACACCAGCAACTCCCAACTCACACAGCTACAGCCCCGCTAACTCCCTACGTTTTCAAGGCAGCTCCTCCAGTGTGGGGTCAGACTGGGGACAGGCATCCCCAAGAAATTACCAGGAACATCCCTTTAGACAGAGCAGCGTGAGGAACACAGCTTTGTATCTTAAAAAAAAATAATAAAAAAAGAAAAAAACCCAACAAAACAAAAAACCAACAACAAACCCCACAGTAAAAAAAGCCTGACAAATTCCAGTGAAGCTGCACAGGGCTCTGATGCCCTGTTTTGACAGCTCTACCCAGTCGGACTCAACTCCCCGCTCACATCCCGATATTCACACCTCCTGCCACCAGTTGTCTCAGAAAGCTGTCAAGGACAGAGCTCTAACTCCTGCCAGCTGCTGGTTCTTAAAGATTAGAAGACAATTATAATTGGATTCCAGAGATTATTTGCTTCGCCGAGAAGGGCTGAGAAGTGTTTAGATGGTTCCCCAGCTGATTAAATCTTTATTTCACAGTGGTGACCCTGTGTGTTTCCCACCCTGGAGTGCTTGCAGACAGGTACTTGGCAGGATTGGCTTATTGCAGCACTTTAGCTTAACAAGACAGCTGACACTGGCCAGCTGTGATGGAGGTTTATCCCGTATCTAGCTGGTTTCATCTCATTTCTGCAGCTCAGGCCCAAGAGCTGAACCCAGCTCCAGCCCTTTCCCCCATTTTAACGATTAATCAGGCAGTTGCCCGATCAGCCATCCAGATATCTTAAGCCAAAGCCTTTGGCACCATTTGCAGCAGATCACAAATGGCCTCTCTCACCTCTCACGCTGCTCCTGTGCTGCACACACAGCCACGAGCCTGCCTGCTCCAGACACCCCAGCTGCCAAAGCCCGAGCTGTCCTGCCCCAGACAGCCTTCACCAGCCTCCTGCCCCGCTCAGCTCAGCACCCCCGGGCAAACACAAGGCAGAGACACTCCTTGCTCACCAGGCAGAGCTGTGCCATGGAAACACGAAGGCAGTGAGCAAGGACTGCCTCCAGCTCAAGCTGAAACAGAGAGATGAGCTTATTGGGGAAGCTGCTTTCCCCTGACCCCACTCCAAATGATGGCACCCAAACCCTCTCCTCTTCTCCCCGGCCCATCCTGTGCTCTGTACCGTTCCTGTGCTCCGGCCCTTTGGGGGCAGCAGGGCAAACCCCGAGGAAGCAGAGGAGGGCACGGCTGCAGAGGAGGTCTGGAGGTGAGGTTAGCTATCAGGGTGTGGGTGAAGGTTGGAGTCCATCGTTCTCACTACTAACAGAGGGGAAGGAACAAAAACAAGCCAACGCGTTAAAAACTCAGAGCAGAAAAGCCAAAAAATACAACCTAGCAACATCGCAGAGAAAGCTGGGAGTGCAAATGGCACCACAACGCAAAGGGCTCCCCTTGTAAGCAAGCACTCCAGCCCTTCCCAGAGCCAGCAGGTCAGACATGCTGCACACAGTTTGGTTAGATAGTGGTTTGCCCCACAGTAGAATGAAATATAATTTATGTACAGAAAGAAACAAGTCCCTGCAGTCTTTGCAAAGGTCAGGTTTCCGGAGCGCTGCCGCGTCGGCGAGGGGTGCGGTGAGCCTGCAGCACTCCCTCCACACAGCACACAATTCACAGCTTGCGAGGCCGGGCCTTCCCCACCCGTGCGTTGGTGCGAGGCCATTCAGAGGGATGATGAATCCTTGGAAAGCAGGTGGGTTCGCAGGCGTCTGCAGGATTCCTGGAGCAGAGAATTAGGGCAATGAATGAATTGAAAAGACCTGGGAGTCCTGGTGGACAACAGGATGCCCAGGAGCCAGCAATGGGCCCTGGTGGCCAAGAAGGCCAAGGGCATCCTGGGGGCATCAGGAAGAGTGTGAGCAGCAGGTGGAGGGAGGTCATCCTGCCCCTCTGCTCTGCCCTGGGGAGGCCCCATCTGGAGCACTGGGACCAGTTCTGGGCTCCCCAGTTCCAGAAGGACAGGGAACTGCTGGAGAGGGGACAGCAGAGGCTACAGAGATGATGAGAGGACTAGAACATTTCTCTTACAAGGAAAGGCTGAGGGACTTGGGGCTTTTTAGTCTGGAGAAGACTGAGGGGGGATCTGATCAATGCCTATAAATACTTAAACGGTGGGGGTCAGGAGGATGGGGCCAGTCCAGGCACAAACAGGAACATGGGAAGTTCCATCTAAACATGAGGAGGAACTTCCTTCCTGTGAGGGTGGCAGAGCCCTGGCAGAGGCTGCCCAGAGAGGTGGTGGAGTCTCCTTCTCTGGAGACATTCAAACCCCACCTGGACACGTTCCTGTGGGACCTGCTCTGGGTGGCCCTGCTCTGGCAGGGGGTTGGACTGGATGATCTCCAGAGGTCCCTGCCAACCCCATATCATTCTGGGATTCTGTAATGCTTGAGACACAGAATGTCATGCAAGAAAAGGCAGATGTGCTGTCCTCCTCCTCCTCCAAGGACTCCTTACTGGAGTCTGCCTCCCACACCTTTTCCCAAAGCAGGGCACTGGACAGGAGGCAGTGAGTGGGCCGGGACAAACACAGCAGTTGGTCTTGGGCTGGACCAGCCTCTTGTCCCACTGCCAGGGACAAGGGGCACTGACACTGCCCCTGGCAGGCTGTTAGCACACCCCCATGATGCCAGCTTCCCTCTGCCTCCTGCACCAGCCACCTCCCCACTCACAGGTAGAAGAGCCATACGCACCCGCTCGGGTGAAACCCTTCCAACCCAGCCTTCCAGCGTGCCAACTGCCTGCAGCTGGGCATGGAGCAGGCTGCTGCAAGGGCACCACAGCTGCCACAGACCCCTGTGTGCATGCCATCTCCTCTGCAGGCCTCAGAGCCCAGTAGGCCAGGTTCCCCACAGGAAAGAGAATGGGCAAACGTTTGTCTCACCTCTTTCCGGCCCTCCAAAGATTTCAGCTTCACTTGGGACACATGAGCTGGAGAGCCACATTTCTGTAACTGGACAAGAGAGGGGAACGGGAATAGAGTTAGGGGATGGAGTGGGCACCTACAGGCTTCCCTGGGAGCAGCCTGTACCACCAGAGAGCAGCTACCACCCAAAATCCACTTTTGGTTTGTCTGGGGCATGGGACAGCCCTAGCAGGCAGCAGGCTCTGGAAAACTTGTGGAGGAGTGTGGGAGGGAGAGAAGGGGGCACAAACCAGTGCCCCAGGGCAGAAACACGGCCAGAAGGAGAAGACTGGAGTGGAGGCCCAGTGCTGCCACCCCTGTCCCGATGCTGCCCTTGTTATCTGCTCTGCTCTGCTCTGCTCTCACAGCAGGTTCCTAAGACCATATTTGATCCTACAGAATAAACTTGGGAAAAGAACAGCAAGCAGCCCCCGAGAATCACCAAAATGAGCACCCACATTGCACTCAAAGTCCCCCCACATGCTCCCCCACCAGCAGCCCCAGAGGCACTGGGAGCAGCTCTTACCAGGTGGACATTCTCTTTGCTGACTCGCTCAGGCTCCGGTGTGGCATCCCTGCTCTTCCTCTCCAGGATAACTGGGGTTCCCAAAACTTTCCGCTGCCGTAAGAAGAGAGGGCTGTTGGCTAGTGCTTAGAGCACAGAGGGGAAAAGAAAGGGAAGGAGCAGGACGCATTGCTGGGAAGCACTCGAATGCTGGGAAAGAAAAAAGGAAGCCAAGCTGGGACAAAGATTGCAAAGCAGAACCACCTGAAATACCGTGCCACTAGGCTGAGCCTGCCTGACCGTGGGGGGTTTGGGAGCTGACCCGAGGCCTGGCCGGGAGCCCAGCCTGGCAGAAGCAGGAACGTGCTGCTGTGAGCAGCCTCCGGCGCGCTGACACCTGCGCTAACGGGCTCCACTACACAACCAGCTCCCCATCAGGCCTCATCTTGTCTCGGGAAGCAGCCAATCCTTCAGGCGCGCTGACACCTGCGCTAACGGGCTCCACTACACAACCAGCTCCCCATCAGGCCTCATCTTGTCTCGGGAAACATGCAGAGATCCTACAGACAGGCATTTCATAGATAATTACACTTTATAATAACAAGGCTTATTCTCAGTGTGCTGCTTTTTCTGTCCTCAGTGGATCTGTGTTCTTTGGCAGCCAATACTTTGAACGGTCCCCAGCTTTGAGGGCCTCATTCAAGCCAGGGCAAGGCAGAAGCAGAGAGCAAGATGAGAGTCTCACAGCAGAGAGCAGGGGTCAGAGGCTGCCTTTACCTTAATGAGGCCGCTGAAAGAGCGCGAGCGGGTGCGTCGCGGTGCTGGGGATGTGGGTACTTCAGAGCCAGGAGTGAGAGCTGCAGAATGCTTATTAAACTAGGAGGAAACATGTAGGCAGTATGTTAGCATGGTTCCTGTACAGTTACACCCCTCCCTTGCTAGTGTGTGCTGCTCTACCAACTGCCCTCTGCCTAGACCTCAGCTTGGCTCCTTCACACCCCATGAGGGAAGAGCAGCTCAGACCTGCAGGGACAAGAAAACGGAGGAGGTCCACATCTCCCACCCAGGACTGCATGGAGCTCAGGTGTGAGGCTGCTTTGTGCTAGCTACCAGGTTAGCCAAAAGCACCAACTGTTGGAGCAGAAAGGGGTTTGGGCAGGAACTGGAGGCTGGCAGCCAAGAGTGGTGCTGACCATGCCACCCAGTCTCTCTGGAGCAGCAGGTTGGCTGGGAACGCTCACCGGACCAAGAGGAGATCAGTTTGTCCACTCCCCACAGGCATGAGGGAACAGAACTTTTCCCTTTATGAAGGAGGAAGCTCAACAAGGCCATGATCAGGACTGAGAAACTGCTGGCTGGCAAGTTCCTGGCGTGCAAACAGACCTCAAAGCACAGGTTGGTGCAGCAAGCTCTACTGTCGGCCACATCCAGGATAGACCTCTCCTCCCCTGCCTTCTTACAGCTCTGCCTCTCACAAAGCCCAAAGCCCACTCTCCTCAGCCTGCCCAGGACTAGGAGCAGCTCTCAAGCAGGCCCTGCCTTTAGCCCTGTGCCCAGGATTGTGCTGACAAGCACACCCCAAAGAGATCTTTTCCTCCCCACACTACCTGCCGGATAAGCTTCTTCTTCTTTGCAGAGTCAGGCATATTGTGGACGTGGCGGAAGAGCTCCTTCAGTGCCTCCTCCGTGCGCTGCTGGGTCTCCTCCTGATGGCAAGTGTCCAGCCTGCTTCGCTTCTGAGACTTGAGGGGCTGCAGCTCTTTGGAGCTGGGAGACGTCAGCAAATCCAGGTCGTCCTGGGAAAGTGGAGACAGCAGTCGTTTGCCATGCTTTAATCCAAACGAGCCACCCATCTGAGCCAGGCTGGGAAGAGTCTCGTGAGCTGCCTCAACCCCAGTGAATGCTGTGCTTTCCCTACCCCTCTGCAGCAGCACTGCACCAGCAGGCCCCGTGCCAGCAAGAGGTGACAGCAACACAAAGGTGACCCCATTGCTTCTTCCCTCCCTTCCCGGATGCCAGATGCAGAAGCCCTTCCAGGCTTGAGAAGGGTCAGTGCAGCTCCTTTGCGATGCATCTTCCCTCTTCTGCATCTTCCCTTCTGCAGGGAAGCATTTGCTGGCAAAGAACAGACCAGCCTTGTCCCGGTGGCAGCGAGTAGCCTTTATCCCAGCCCCTTTTCCAGGCAGCCTGGCCACAGCAGCAGGCGCGTCTGTCTGTTTGGAAGGCAAACCCCATGAAGGAGCAGGTGCTGCATGTACTGGGCACAGGGAGCAGGTTTGCTGCTAAACAGGGACTGGTAGCTTTCCCTGTGCTTTTGATTAACAGATGCTTCAACTCTGCCCAATTTCCCTAATGCAGCCGCCTGCACTACCACACCATATGGTTCCCTCACTCCTGCTCTCTGACAGATCCTACTGCGTGACTTGGTTTGTTTTCAGCTTCTCTCACTCACAAGGACCCCATCACAGGAACATCTCCTCTGCCCTTTCAGGGAGGGCAGGCGCAGCATTTGCTGCCCTTACCTTTGATGTATGTGCCCTGGATCCCAGATAGTGCAGCCTGGCACACTCCCGGATGTACGCTGGGGCCTGTGAGGATGAGCAGAGAAATGCCATGTATACATTTAGAATATTTGGCCCAGGGGCAAGAGCGGTCCCAGCAAGAGCTGCTCTTCAACCATAGCACACAAGCCATTTCCACCAAGACTCATCCGTTGAGGGCAGATGGGGATTTCATGTCCCCAGTGCAGTTCATAGCTTCCCTTTGATGCAGGCAACCAGCACAAGTGGAACACAGAGTAAGAGCAAGGTTCCCCAGGAACTTTTCCCGAGCCATTCCCCCAGCTCTGAGCTGGCCAAACAGGGGCCTGACAAAGAGGGCAGGAAGGGAACCTTCCGTGGGAGGACTCTTTGCAGAGAGCAGATGCCTACAGTGACCAAGAAGGCCCTGAGAAGTCAAGGGACTGCCTGTTGCAGAAGCACTTTCTTGGGAAAACCTGCCAACAGCCCCACACAGCTGGGAGCACCCTGCTCTGAGCCAGACAGAAGCCCAGGACTTCAGGTTGTGCTTGTAACCACCGTGCGTTGTCTACAACTTGCAGAGAAATTCACAACAAAATGACTCGCCGTATAAGGTCCTCAGCTCTTGGCACTACTCATCCAGGACAAGCCCCTGCAGTTTCCTTACCCTGCTGGAACTCGAGGGGAGCCCGGTGGCTACCTGTCCCCAGGAGCCAGGTTTCCAGGCGGGCAGCGGGTGCTGGGTGCCCAGCAGAGGGTGGTGTTACCCTGCACCCTCCTCCTCCTGACCTGCCCAGGAAAAGCCACCTCCGGGCTGCCTTCCTCCTCCTGGGCTGCCTGCCCGGCAAAGACCTCCTCCCCAGTCACTAAAGGAACAGTTTCTTGTAGAAATCCTCCTTCTCCTACCGCAGAAGAGAGCACCCAGAATACACACTGGAAACCTGGGACCTGTCTGGACAAGGGGCATCCAGTCTCCTGCGGAAGGGGCAGGGAGAGCAAGACCGCAAAGTGCACTTACCTTGAAGAGCTTCTGAGAGTGTTTGATCATGAAGGTCACTCCGTTGTTTAGCTTCGTGATATTCTCCTGAAGGTCATTTGCTGTCACCTGGCAAGAGGACACAGCCAAAGGCACAGTGGTTAGAAGGGGAGGAGGAAGGGTCTCTGCTGCCCGTCCTGCCTCTGGGACACAGAGACACACAGTGCCTCGGCTGGAGACCTGCTCTGAGGAGACAGGCAGGCAGGGCTCACAGCACACCAATAAGCAGAGCTCACAGAGTCAAAGCTGCTCTGAGAAGAGGACAACTAGACAACTCTGGGTCCAAACAGTTCATCAGCTGCACAAAAAAGCTTGCAGAAAGATCTGCAAGGTTTGCCTGGTGGTGTGATTCTTAAAAGAAGCTGGACTGTGCCGCGCTTTCAATTTTACTGAAAATCAGTTGCAAATGAGACCAACGGCAGGTCTGGACTGAACAGTAGGACTGAGTCCTGCCAGGAAGCTCCACCTCACCCTCCCAGCCTCCAACCCTCACGTCACAATATCAATACTTAATCTTCCCATCTCGGTTCTTCCCCCGTAGCCCTGCCAACCCGCTGCTTTCTGCCTCGCAACATCCCACCCGCAGGTACTGAGGCATCGCTCACATTTCTGGGCCATAGGATGTGGGGCGCAAACATGAGGGCAAGATTGTGGGCAGACATCTTGTTCTTGTCCTGCTTCTTGGCGGTCTGGTAGAGTAAGTCCAGCAGCAGTTTGAGCAGACTGCGGTTGGGCGCAGGGAGGATCAAAAACAGCAGCTGGAGGGCTTCAATCTGACGCTCTTTGTCTGGAGTGCTGGTCTTGTTCCCCTTCTCATCAAACAGCGTCAAGTCTGCCAAATCACAAGGCAGAACATGAACATACATGACCTTCCCTTACAGCAGCCTACTGCAACCAGTTACCCTGCCCTCTCCATATGGAGATCTCCCAACTCCTGCATAGTTCCTGGTCCTCTGTCTCCCTCCCACCAGCTCCCACAGGACATCACAGCTGCTAAGAGTTGTGATGGGCTGAAGGCAAGACGGAGGAAGTTCATGTAAGGTAGTTCAATAACTTACTAAGTACATAGAAACCACACCTCAGCTCAGGAGACCCCCCAGGCTTAAAACAGACAGACACCCAGGCTACCCTGCCTTTAAGGATTACACTTCCACAGCCCAGTGTGCAGCTTTGTAGCATTACCAGCTTTCTGGGAGACTGGCTTCCCTCCTTCTGCTCATCCCTGCCTCTTGTTGCTCACTCACCTGCAATTTTGAGGTGGGCATGGAAGTGCTTGTGTGTCAGCAGCGGCTCTGGTAATTCACCCAGGAACATCTTAAGCAGGGTGGCCACATCATTGGAATGAAACTCTCCAGAGTCCAGGTCAATATCTGTACCGCTGTTTAAAGCATCCTTTAGGATCTGTTGCCTGATGCTGTTGCCTGGCACCCGAAACAAGCCTTCTGCTCTTAGATCTGCTCGGCAGAGGGAAGAAAAAAGGCCACTGATTAATCAGAAGCTGATTCCCATCTTCTTAGTAAAGAAGTTCCTTCCCCTTTCCAGAGCTTGACAGCAAACCTCAGTGAGCTGCACTGAGAGACATGACTTCAAGCTGGCTTCCATCAGTAGAAAAAGTCCATGCACAGAGGGAAAGAGATTAACATATCTGCCAGGCAATTCTAGGGAACAGTCACCTAGTCCAGCCCCAAATTCCTGCTGTTGGAGAGCTTAGAGCTTTTCAGTCTCTGCGCCAGAGACCTGAGGTGGGCCAGAAAGACACCTCTTGGGATAGGAGGCCAGAAAGAAACCTCTTGGGACAGGAGGACAGAAAGACAGAGGAACTTACTTTTGTGCAGATACTCGATGAGCTGGGAGACCTGCGCAATGCCTTCTTCTGTCAGCGGTGAGCCAAACACCACCCCTTTCTCTGCAGAACAGAAGATAACGTGTTCAGGCAGCTCAAACCCAACAGCCAGAGGCACGTGGTCCCCAAAGAACAGGATCTCAGTGTGCAAAGACCAGTGCCCCAAAATGCTAAGGGTGCAGGTCACAAGGACCCCCACAGATGTGAAATATCACTAGTGCTCCCAAATAAGTCACCTCATCTCACCATGTTGTACTTACAACGGCTTCATCATCCTGCTTCTTACCTCAGCTTAATTACAGTTCTATCAGCTAAAGCAAACATTGTCTAGCTCCTGAAAAGAAAACAACCCCAGAACAGAGGCTTCAGTTTTAAAGGGCATGCCATCTGCAAGCCTGGACCTTATGGAAACAGCAAAGTGGGACGGGCAGATGTGATAGCCTGGACTACCCTGTGCCTGCCACATTTGCACATTCCCCACCTGGGAAGGAATGTCCAGACTAATCCTCACTATGGCCTGACACGGAGAGGAACAGAAGGAAGATGTGCAGCTGTGAGACTTATGGGAGAGAGAAACAAGCACTAGTGGGGAGAGCTGACATGATCCAACCGCCTCATGCTGGCCTCCCTTTCAGGGATGGGTAATCCCTGGAATTCCCTAATTCCAGTGAATCTCTCTTCCATGCCAGCTGCCTTGGCCTGAGCACAATAAAGCATGAAGTATCAGAAAACTGAACAAGAAAGAGCTAGAAAAAAAAAGAAGAGTGGCAAAGAAAGCTGGGCCCTTCTCCATATGGAGCCCTGACAGCTCCTCTCACTCCTGGAGTTTGCTGTTCCAGATCAGGCATGAGCTGCCAGCTCCAGAACTCCATTCAGCACGGGCTACAGCCCCAGAAGATATAAGCACCTGAGCTGAGATCCTTGCATGGAAGGAAACATTAGATGAGAAGCCCATTTCACCGAAAGGCACTTGTTGAACCAATGCAGAAAACTGTTCTTGTTCAGAGAGGGGCTCCCCAGGTAAGAGAGTGGTTGTCCAGCAGGACAGTATTTTCTAATAAATGGAATCTTGCTGGTGAGTGGCTTTTCCATCAGACACATGCAACCAGCAAGCTCTGTCCCTCAGAAAGCTAACACTAATCCCAGGGGCTTCACTGACAGCAACCAGACCCCTGAGCACTGGATGAATGCATGTTTTGACTGCAGCTGGAGACAAGATGCTGGATAGACCATACCACGACGTGCTGACTGGGACTGAGAATTGGAACCAGGTAGGGAGCTGGTTTGTCCTGCTCTTGCACTTAGGCTTCAAAGAGCCAACAGATTTAAGAAAAGAACATGCCTCCCTTCTCCATGACCAGATTGCCAGGAGCACGGGGCCACTTCTGAGGTCAAGCTGGGCATTTGCACCCCAGCTGTCTGTGGCTGAAGATTTCCCTCCTTATTGTTATAGGCGATAGCCCAGCAATCCAAGCCGTGCCTTGGCTGGTCTGATAAAAGTTATCTCCCCAACAAGCTTTCTTTTGCCTTTTTTTTTTCCCCCCCCATAGCACGTTTTGATTTTACGAGCTTTTGGTCTGTTGTACTACAGATCTTACTGCTCTGTGGTGTTGATGCTCACAGCATGTGGGAAAGACCTGGTTAACCCTGTGCAGTTCTCCAGCAGCCTTCCCATGCAACTAAATTTATTCCGCCTGAAGAATGTTCCTCTTTCTTCCAGGACTTCTGAAATATATGGTAAGCCACCAGGAACTCCAGCCTCCCGTTAAATCAAGAACTTTCTGACCTCCCTCTGATAAAGCGCGTGCTTCAGTCTTGCAGAAGAAAGGAGGGCAATGTGACCTCTTGATCCACACGTAAAATCTGAAAGGCTTGAGTGCAAAGGGAGAGAACGGTTGGCAAAAGATTCTTGTCCTTGAAGAAAACTAAACTCATTAGACATTCAACAGATAGAATCAGTAGTGGCCAGGAAGGGAAGAGGAAAATACATCTTGAGACATGCAGGGCCTGACAAATTCGATTTAACGTTTGAAGTCAGAAATTGATATCTGAATGAGAATTTGATTCTCAAAGAAACTTGAAAGAAGCGTCTGGAGAATGGCTGCTGAGTTACGAAGGTTTAGATGTTATTGTACGATTGCTTCTGAAACTAAGCAGCAGCATGAGATTGAGTTTCCTGATGCTCAAAGGAGTTGTAAGTATTTGCAGTTCGATCAGCTCTCAGCTCTATGGTCCTTGGCCTCTGGCTTTGAAGAAATAAAACCTGTTTGTTCTAGCTGGTCTATAACATGAAGAAAAACAAATGATGGCTCCAAGATGAAACACGCAGTACATGAAACCGATTTTCTCTGTAGGCACAGACTACTTTTTCTCAGAGTTTGGCCAAGGAGTTCACAGACAGTGCCTGTCAGTGCAGGGAGACACTGCCATTGCAGCCTGGGAGTGCAGCCAGCAGACTTGGAAACATCTGCTAGCTGTAGCTGTGGTGAGACACACGGCCACGGAGACGTCTGAATGGGGGAAGGCAGAGCCCCTGGGGAAGAGAGCTAGCAGGGGACGTCAGGTCTGATAAGAGCAGGGCTCCAGTGGAGTACAGATAATTAAAAAAACAAAACAAAAAAACCAAGCCAGAAAAGGCCCACAAGCCCCTGCTAGAAGGTTTCGACAAGAAGAGGGATGTTTCCAAACATGCTAGGAAAAGGCTTTCAACTTGGTTACTCACTTTCTTCTGTTTGTCAAGTGTCTGAATTTAAGGTGTCCTGATACTCTCCTGGAAGAGGCAGGAGAGCAGGTATGAGCACAGCCTAACCGCAGTTTCGGGTCCAGAGACGGGCAATGGAGCTGGGGAGGGGTCTGGAGAAGAAGTCTGATGAGGAGAGGCTGAGGGAGCTGGGGGGGTTCAGCCTGGAGAAAAGGAGGCTGAGGGGAGACCTTCTGGCTCTCTCCAACTCCCTGAAAGGAGGGGGTAGCCGGGGGGGGGCGGTCTCTGCTCTCAAGGTGATGGGACAAGAGGAAACGGCCTCAAGTTGCACCAGGGGAGGTTCAGGTTGGAGATTAGGAAAAATTTCTTCCCTGAAAGGCTTATCAGGCCGTGGAATGGGCTGCCCAGGGTAGCGGCTGAGGCACCATCCCTGGAGATATTCAAATGATGAATTGATATGATGCTCGAAAATATTGTTTAGTGTTGGTGTGTGTGTTTTGTTTGGTATTTGGTTTTTGGCTTGGTTTTTTATTATTATGGTTGGACTAGATGATCTTAAAGGTCCCTTCCAACCTAGGTGATTCTGTGATTCTGTAATATTGAATAATTCTCACCTAAGGAAGCTAAAGAACTTGATTTGCCGTACTTGGTTTTCCCTTGCAGTGCTGCCCAGCCCAGGGTGAGTGCATCTACCAGGATTTCCACTGGGTGAGCCAGGGGTGGAGGGCTGAAGCCAGCAGCAGACAACTCAGTCTGAGCAGTGGGGCTGCAGAGCTTGTCCTTACGGAACACAACGGAGGAATGGGTTTGGTTGAATCAAAAACACTTAAAGAAACTGCATAGAAGTTGAAGACAAAAAAAATAAAAGCTGTACTTGGACATAGCGATAGCTCCCTTCTCAGAGATACACACCATAGCAGAACTGCTCAAAGGATGGGGAAGACTAATTAGAAGTGTTCAACCTCAGGCTGCCAACATCTGAAGGCAGCTACCCACAGCTTCTCTGCCAGCAGAGCCAGTCTAGCTAGGAAACCAGAGCTGACAAGGGATGTGAGAGGTACCCAGATGGAAGCAGTTTCTGTCTAGATAAGTGAAAAGGTTTAACTGAACTTATCAGGAGCACCAGGCTCCCCTTGAATGTGGGCAGAGGTGGGAGAAGAAAAACATATACCTAGAACACCTCTTTAGTTACAACAAAACAGTGGTAAACACCAGCCAGTGCAGAGGATCCGAACACAACTGTGCTCAAAAGCCTATCTCAGACTTCTGAGAAGGGGCCTGGGGCTAGTGTTTCATAACCAAGACAGCTGAACTTGAAAGAGAAGATAAACATTGTCAGTTTACAGGAAAAAAAAACTCCAGCTGACTCTTTATCTCGCAGAAAAAGAGAAATATGTAATCTCCAGGGTTTGAATCTGGGCTTGGGCAGAGTGAGCCTGCAGAGCTTGGTCACTGACTCATGGGATCGGGATGTGGATCAGAGGGGCACTGGCATTTGGGTGGGAGATGCTTACAGATTTCTGAGCTGCACAGACAGGACCTTCCAGAGAGCTGGGACAGCAGCTGAAGGAGACATGGGACACTGACTGAAGAAATGGGAGGGCATTTTCTGGATAAACCTCCTGGCCTCGTTTTGCTCCTTTCTAGAGCTGGCATCCCCAGAGATTACAAACCTACAGTAGTATTATTATTGGAGTGCTGTGTCCAGCTCTGGAGTCCTCAGCACAGGAAGGACATAGACCTGTTGAAATGGGTCCAGTGCAGGGCCACGAAGATGCTCCGAGGGCTGGAGCCCCCTCTGCTGTGAAGACAGGCTGAGAGAGCTGGGGGTGTTCAGCCTGGAGAAGAGAAGGCTCCAGGGAGACCTTACAGCAGCCTTCCAACATCTGAAGGGGCTACAGGAGAGATGGGGAGGGACTCTTGATCAGGGAGGGGAGTGATAGGACAAGGGGCAATGGTTTTAAATTGAAAGAGGGGAGATTTAGATGAGATACCAGGAAGAAAATCTCTGCTGTGAGGGTGGTGAGAGCCTGGCCCAGCTTGCCCAGAGAAGCTGTGGCTGCCCCATCCCTGGAGGGGTTCAAGGCCAGGCTGGATGGGGCTTGGAGCAACCTGGTCTGGTGGGAGGTGTCCCTGCCCAGGGCAGGGGGTTGGAACTGGATGGTCTTTAAGGTCCCTTCCAACTCTGACCATTCTGTGATTCTATGACTAAGCATACAGCACAACCTCAAAACAACAGGTCTGCACTGAAAGTTTTGTAAACTACGGGTAACAGATGATGAGAGTCAGCACCACCCTAAAGGTGGACACCAGACCTCGTGCCATACTCACCCTTGCGCTTCAGAGACATCAGAGAACGAAAAAATCCAGCGGCGGTGCCGTTTGCCCCAGGCAGCTTTGGGTCCTCCTCTCCCATCAGCTGGGCCAGCTCTGCCCCAGGCAAGTCAATGAGCCTGGTGATGTTGCTGACGACCAGCTCTGTGAACACCTCTGGTTTTTCATGGCGGAGCTTTTCTACAAAGAAGTCAGGATTGAAGATGATGGGCTGGCTGCGGAGGGAGGAGTCATTGCAAATGACAAAATTGCAGATGGCATCTCTGGAAAAAAAAAGGGAAGGAGAAAAAAAAAATAGCGTAACTCCTCATTGCTTTGTTTTTTAGAGCCAGCTGGTCTGCCCTGAAGGAGACATCTGCTGACACAGGAGCTACCAGTCTACACCATCAGCACTGTCTGTCTGCAGTGGGTGTTCAGCACAGCACAGTTACATTTCCCTTTGGAGAAAAAACATTTCTGGCTTGTTTGTACAACACAGCCCCAGACTAGCACTCTGTAACGTGATGGTAACATATGCAACACATGACAACACCCAACTAAAACCTTCACTATATCTACATCCTACTAGCTCAGGCAGCTATGACATCCAATATTTTACATTAGCTTACCACTCTCAGTCATAAATAAGTTTGGTTCTGTCTCCTTTCCTCCCCAGAAATTCACTACCCATGACCTGAAAGTCTAAACCCCAATCTTTTTTATACTCATCAGTTCCCATTGCTGTTCCATCACCACCTTCCCATCAACAAACAGAAAGCGCCAGTGTCCTGGGACTTTGTTTTTAAGATTGTAAGGGTGCAACATCACCGACCTGCAGTTCTGCTGGGGATGCAGTTAAACGCTCACAGGTGACAAGCCACCAGCTCTTAATCACTGCTCCCTGCCATCCACGATGACTGCCCAGCTATGCACTCTGAGTCTGGAGTGAGTGTGAGCTCACAAGTATTAGCACCAGCCATGTAAGATCAGTCCTCGAGGAACCTTTAGTAACCTTCCTCCTAATACATTTCTTTTTGGCTCATCCAGTTCTCGCCTCCTCTTCAGCCTGTCCCTTTATCCAACCTCCCTGTTCCCCACTGACACCTACTTTCCCCATTTCCCAGCTTCTCGTGTGCCGTGGGAAAAGGGATGCATCTGAGACACTGCTCTGCTCTGGGTTATTTATGACAGATACTTAGCCCTCTCAGAGGTTAGGTAAGCTACATTTACCATGTCTAAAATCAAAATTTAGAGTTATCAAAGAGAGAACTCCGGTTAATCGGCGCACTTAATGCTCACACTTAAAGCTTATCCCAATTTCCATCTACCTCTAGGTCTTCCATTACCATCTTCCCACCACTGTTTCAAAGAAGCTTCTGAAGTCAAGCTCACAGGCTGCAGTTGCCTAGCTTGCTTCTCCTGCCTCTCTTTTACTTAAATGTGGGGATTAGTGTCATTATTCTCCAGTCACAAGTTACTGCCCGATGTCACACTCTGCTCTAAAGAGCTGGCTCAGCCCTGTGAGTTGGTGTGCCAGTTCTTCCAGGGCTCTGGCTGGAGGCTGCCTACCCACCCAGCTCGCACACACTGCGTGCTTTCACCGCCTGACATTCCCCACTCCTTTCATCATCCTGGAACTCGTAGATAATACTTTCCTTTCCACTGTTTCAACACCCCTCCTCAGCCGTGAGCTCCCACTGAGCATCACTTTCCAACAGCAGCTGCCAAACACGCAGGTAACAGAAATAACCAAATCATAGAATCACAGAATGGTTTGGGTTGGAAGGGACCTTAAAGATCATCCAGTTCCAACCCCCTGCCCTGGGCAGGGACACCTCCCACCAGACCAGGTTGCTCCAAGCCCCATCCAGCCTGGCCTTGAACCCCTCCAGGGATGGGGCAGCCACAGCTTCTCTGGGCAATCTGGGCCAGGCTCTCACCACCCTCACAGCAAAGATTTTCTTCCTGGTATCTCATCTAAATCTCCCCTCTTTCAGTTTAAAACCATTACCCCTTGTCCTGTCACTACACTTCCTGACAAATGCTGTGCTCCTGCACCAGGGATGGTGGCAGTCCCTTCGGTGGGTGCGTGGTGGCACTCGGGGGGAAACACGTTCATCACCTCCGAGGCCACCAAAGGCTTTCCCTCCAAAGCAGGCTCTCCCACGGAAGACCAGAGCACCTTCCTCTTGTCCTCTCGGCTGAGGAGCGGAGGCCACGTCACCGTGTTGGGACCACCCTGGGCATCCGTTGGGTGAAGCAACAGAGCGCTTCACCTACTAGTTCAGAGATCTGAGCAACTCATTGTTCTGATGTGAAGCAACAGCAGCTAAGGCAGGGGAGGATATCCAAACACATACTGGCAAGTCACCCAACCCTAGCCCACCTCCCTGCGGATCTGTGAACCCAACAGTTATCCAAAGTACTGCTGTACATCCTCAACCTGAAAGCCCACCTTGGCGTGATTTCCAGGGTGCACCATCAGAGTTAAGAGAATGAAAGCTGGCACTCGGACTACACAAGGAGAAAGATTCTTGAGGAAATTAGAGGAAACCAGGCTCTCAGCAACACCCGCATCGTGAGAATCCGTACAAAAGCCCTCTCCCCTTGCCACTGCTCTCCACGGATGTCAAAGACTTCTCCGAGAGGATGGAGAGGAGGAAGGTCTGCGACGCAGACTGCAAGGCAATCTGCCAGGCCATCTAAAATTTTAGAAAGCTCTTAAAGGCTCCCAGCTGCATGGCTCGGAGCGGCCTAGCGAGCGTGCCGCCGGCTCCAAATGGGGGCCATATTTTCCCCGAGTACCTCCCAGTCGGATTTTCAGCAGTTTGTTATCTGCAATAAATCAAGCCCCAAACGCCACAGCTCGGGATCGGCCGCCAAAAAGCTGCTGCCAATCGATCTGATGGCATTCGCACGGCATCGCCCAGGGCTACAATGCACAAACCAAGTGCCAGCGCTGCCCGTAACGCGGAGCAAGCCCTTTGCCTGAAACCCATGACAACTGATTCGGTGGCAATACAGATCCTGAGAAGGGTTAATAGCAAGTGTATGGGCCCAGTGACCCTGCCTGCAATGATCCGTGCGCTGGTATTCACTCGCTAGCAGTTTTGTTTCCCCACAGAGAAGATATGCAAATACTTTGCAGCAGTTACATCAAGCATCACAGATTATCTGCTCCCTCTGACAATTAGATATCTAGATTCAGAGAAAGAAAATTAAAACAATTTCGTCAACTAGAACTGACTGACGTGACTTCTCTGCACAGCCAGCCTTACAAGTCGCACAAAGTTTAACAACATTTAATGCAAAAGTAAATAGAAAAAACGTAAATTTCTTACATGAGTGCTGAGAGCTTTTGGAGAGGCATTAGGAAGCAGAGACAGGGAAAAGAACTTGCTCCTTGTTTCCAGCAACAAAAGAAACCTGCCTGTCCCAGCACAGCCTATGCAAATTCCACGCATGCTACGAGACACAAGGGCGCATTATTGGGTCTGAAAGGCCCCCTTGGCACACACTGGGCATCAGCCTTCACACAGAGACAAAACAGAAAAGAAAAGCTGGACAAATTGATTCATGTCTCTTGCCAAAGGCTGCGTAGCTGGAGTTTAACGGCAAATAATTCCTACATAGAAACCGGGGTTTTGAATTAGGACCAGCGTGGTATTAAGTGCTCTCCACCTGTATCCAAGAGGAATCCACACAACAGCCCCAAATCTCCCCTGTGTTTACCGTGAGTAAAGCCCTGCAAACACATTCCCGACAGCTTCCAAGCACAACCGATGTTACGGCACCGGCAGGACAATAATCAAGTCCCTTCACTGCACAACCCCGTGCTTAGAAACCTCGCTAGAAACACTCGCCTTTCACACTTTTAGATCCTTTCAGAGACAAAGCACGTAGATGGGACTCTCCAGAGCTGGAAACAGCACCTGGGCATCAGTCTTTGCTACCTTCACTGCACCACCATGTGCTGTTCAGGAGACTTCAGGTTTCCCGTTCCACGTTTCTCTGGATTCCCACCCAGTTTCCCTGCGCTGCCGCAGCTGGGACCAGCCCTGTAGCTCTTATTGCGGGATGGCCCTTCAACGAGCTGCTTCATTTTGAAAGGTCACTTTATTAGCGAGCTCCTCCTCGCCCAGAAGATTTGCCTTTGTATCATTATCGCTAATCAAAATGGAAATGTGAAGCAACCCCCTATTTCTGAGCAGAGAGAAAGCCCCCACTGGCTTTACACACAATAACCCTGCCAATCCTCACTGCCGCACGCGCTGTAACCTTCAGAGAAAGCCATGTGCCCCATCTGCTGTTTTCACGTTAAAAAAGGAAGATGGATGTACTCTACCTACACTCACAGTTTATATAACAGTGGCAGAGGGGACACAAACATGTATTCAGGGAGTTTATTGCCTTCCTTTTTTCTTTTGCTTGCAATTACAGAGTTATATTTTCTATATGCTGTGATCTCAGATCGCTTTACGACACCATCAAAAGACGACAAAATAAAGGAATAAATAGCTTCCTCTCCGACCCCATGAATAAAATCAAATCCCAATGAATAATAAAACCGTGTACTAATAGGGTTGTGATTAAGACAGCAGATTAAAAAAAAAATGGGTCCTATATTGTGCTGAGATTCTTGCCATTCTAGTATCTTTCAGGAGCGAAGCCTGTGATCCCAGCCAAGTCACAAAGAAAGCTGTCTGTCACACACAACGTTCTCGCTTCAGGCATGACAGCCCCATCATTTCATGGGGAGTGGATGGTGCAGGAGGTCAGAATCATGATGGATCAATTAATCCCTAAGGTAACTAGATCCGGGCCAGGGAAATGCCTCGGAAACAAGGCAAAAAAATGAGACTTTGACTGGCAAAACCCAGTGATGGAACCTGCGGTGGGAGAGCTGTGCGGATCAGCTCCTGTGGCAGCAGGCTCACACCGTGAGAGGGGAGACCAAACTCTACTAGTGGCTTTTACAGATTTTATATTGTTCTAACTCCACCCGTGCGAAGGCAGAAAGAGGCTCAATCACCATGAAACAGAGCATGAGGAGAACACAAGTAAGCCAAGAAAGAGAAGGAAGAGGTACCTCTGGGGCAAGGCATTAGCTGTGTGTGTCTGGCTGGGAAAGAGGAGAAGCCAGAAGCTGCAGATTTGAGAGGAGCCTGATGTGCCTCATTCAGAGGGCAAAACCCATCTCTGGGGCCGTTTTGCGCACTTTGTGTGCTGTCACTAAAGAGCTAACACTCCAGACACACCACAGCAGATGAGTCTTACCGTACAG